AATATGCATCTCCAATTAGCTTGAAGGTCTCATAGTTAGGGTAGCTTTCCATGTGGGCCTGGACCACCCCAGAAACAGTTTACCTAATTGGCAGAAGGTGAAGGTGGGAGAAAATGTGCCCGAGGTTCCCACCTCCTACTATCAGTCAGGCTAGCCACATGGGCTAGGCAGAAAGTCTCACAGGATCACCCACATCTCTCCCCTTTGTTTTAGGGCAAGTGTGACTCTGGTTAGTGTGGCACGGCAACAAGCCACAGCCCACAATAAGCTTTAAATTAAATTGAAGAACGCCTAGCATGGTGATTAAGGGCAGGGCGGAAAAGAAGGGCAAAGGGAAAAAGGCCAGGCCCACCATGTTTCAGGCCTTTGTAATTGGCAGGCGGTGCACAGGTATGGGAAAGCAGGGGCATGAGATCACACAGCGGCTGAGGACAGTGTGATGAAGGTGTAGCCTTCCAGTTCTGAAGTCTAATGATATATGACTGCCTGCATCATCCCCCTTCAGAGACTCCATTCCCTTAATCCTAGGGATGTTGAAGGGTGTAGAATCATCACATCTTCTATAGCTGCTTCCTGTTTATGAGGGATGTAGTGCAGTCCCTATCTCTGCCTATCTCATCTAACAAATTCTCTCTGTGAGCTGGAGCAATCTTGGTCACCACCAATGTCTGTGTCCCCTGCATGGTCAGTGACTCCCAGAAGTTGTTGAGTTCTGGAACATATAAGTTTGTAAATTCATATGAGCAAAACTGGAACATGACCAATTGTAAGTGGAGTGCCCCTTTAAGATGAAAAGACCACATCCTACAGACTCCCAGATAGTGGGTGGTGATACATAAACCCATTTAGCTTGAGTATAGAGAATTATATTAGAAGAACACATTAGGAGTTTTATTGTTAATAACAGAGAGAATCAAAGAGGCAGGTACACCATGCTTGCCTTCAGGTGCAGCACTCTTGATGTGAGGAAAGCAAAGGCTTTACTTTTCTTTTTGCTTAAGATCTCTGGCTTACAAGAATAATCAGGCATGTCTTTTGAGTACACCTGTGAGGACTTGAGAGGCAGACAATCCTAATTTTACTAAGGTAGTCATGTTCAGTAGCACCTGGTAAGGTCCCTTCCATTTAAGCTGTAGCCCATCTGAAGAGGATCTTTCTATGAATGGCTTGTTCAGGGAAAGGTGCTGAAGTTGGTTTGTAGAGGGTCAGCTTTCAGAGACTGAGTCCAGGGTTTGGCATTTCAGGCTGCCCTCCACACAGGCTGCAGAGTGATCTCTGGAAAGCACAAGCAAAACCTTTGCCCATCATTATGAGGGGATCAGGCCCCTTCCATTGTTGGGTGGTTGGGTCCCTCCATCAAACCAGAGGCAATTGGGTTGCACCTGTGAAAGGTCTCCAGTGTCTCACTGCTGGTGGCTCTCCAGGGGGTGAGACCAGTAAGAACTTTACGGTGAAAGGAGCAAAGTTAATACACTCATAGTGGGGGTACCGTACTCTCCCCTCTGTTTTTTAAGCATAGTCTTAAGGTCCGGCATGGGAAGTTAATGCAGTGACTCCTATGGTTAATTTCACAATTTACACTCTTTTGTGTGCTGTCAGTGATCACCCAAGGCTCTTGACATGAACTGTCTAGGCTATGGAAGCCTTCTGAATCCACAAACTCCATCAATATTTAGAGAAGGCCGTAAGCAAAGTGAAAGTTCTCCCTTTGAAGAGAGTACATCCTTCTTTGATGACCACTTCTTTCCACAGGAGTCTCACCCAGGGAGACTCTCCATGTAGGCACACCTTTTTGCACAAGTGTCCTGACTTTCCATGCCTGAAATGCTCTTGTGGGCTTTTTAGCCAGACCAGAATGCCTTTAGGGATGACTCTGAGGTCATTGAGCGTTACTTAGAGCAATTGCCATTCTATGAGTCTGCTGTATGGACTACTTCCCATGTTCAAGCATTTACTACTCTTTAATTCTGTTGATATGATCACTTTAACAATGGCTCCTACATGATCAACTTAAAACTTAAAGCAATCAAATACAGTCACTTTTAAACGTAATCATATATATATATAAATGTTAATACTTAAGATGTCACTTTCACCATGTAGCCCAAGGACCAGATTTGATCAAATCATAACTCCTTTAAAACTCAGTTGTTTTAAAAAATTAGAACTTAAGAGGCAGTAAGAGAGCATAGTAGATTACTTTAAAATAACACAGAATCTGTCTCTTTGGTTGTTCAAAAGTCAGGAAATAAAACCTTAAATTTAAGACCTGGTGCATTGAATCAAATCCCATAATTTGGAACAGTTTTAAGAGTCAGAACTAGGGAAGAAAGAATAGCACCCACATGGGAGACCAGGAGGAAGCACCTGGCTCCTGGTTTCAGATCAGCACAGCATGCTGGCTGCAGCGCGCCAGCCGTAGTGGCCATTTGGGGGGTGAACCAATGGAAGGAAGGCTTTCTCTCTGTCTCTCTCTCTCTCGCACTGCCTAACTCTGCCTGTCAAAAATAAATAAATAAATAAATAAATAAATAAAATAAATCAACAAATGACAAAACTGATGAGGATGTGGAAAAAAGTTACCCTGGCCCACTGTTGGTGGGAATGTAAACTGGTGCAAGCCACTGTGAAAGACTGTATGGAGATATCTTGCAAATCTGATCATAGGCCTACCATTTGATCCAGCCTTCCCACTCCATGGAATTTACCCAAATGAAAAGAAATTAGCATATGCAAGAGTTATCTGTAACCCCATGTTCATTGCAGCACAATTCACAATAGCTGAGATCTGGGAACAATCCAGATATCAATCAATTGTTGACTTGATAAGAAAATTATGGTATATACACACTATGGCATACTACTCAGTTATTAAAAAAGAAAGAAAGAAAAAGAAACCCTGTCTTTTGCAACAAGATAGATGAAACTGGAAACCATTATACTTATATCCTATGTTTTCCCTGATCTGAGGTAGCTAATAGAGTACCTAAAATGTAATGTATTGGAGTTAGATACACATTTTGAGATTTGATGATTGTTTAGAGCCCTTGTCTCTTCCATTGAGGAACAGTGATTTTTTTTTAATTTATTTTTTTGCTTCATACTATTTGCTGACTTGTTGAACTCTTACTTAGTGTAGGGTTAACTATATAATCATTAAGTAAACTGAAAACAGATTTTGTAAAAGTTAAGTGGGAATGTGAGAGGGAAGAGGAGAAAGGGTTGGAGTGTGTGTGGGAGGGAGGGTATCAGGGGACATGTCACATACATTCATTAGTCTGTATATATGAAATATATCAAACTTATATTAAATAAAATTTTAAAAGTAAATATTTAAAATTCAAAATATTTATACCAATAACAAGAAGAATTTTAAAGGTGTTTATATATATAATATATATGTGTGTGTGTTTAATTTATGACATTACAATATAAATGTACATATAATTTGTAATATAAATATATAGAGCAACCTTTTGAAATTTTTATAATGTATTTATCATCAGAAAAGAATAGCTCAGCTTTCTGTAATAATCCAGTTTCTGATCATTACAAGAATGAAGAGTAAGCCACAAAGTTGTAGCTCATAATCTCTGTTTTTCTGTGTCTCCAAGTCTACTAACCTCTAAAATTAAACACACACACATAATTCTGGGATAAAAATCACATTAAGATCCCACTATTTTCCTGCATAATTTTCAGGAAATATATTAGTATCTAGACACACAGTGGCAAATTTATCTATGTATAAAATATATGTATGTTATATGTTACATATATTCATATATATATATATATATATACTACATTGAGAAGAAAGAATTATTACCCTTGGCTAATATGGCCCTGATACACTGTGTACCTGACAGTTTCCAGGGCAACTTACAGAATGTTGGGGGTGATGATGATCTTACAATAAAAGTGAAATCACCATGGCCATGGTACATGACTTTTCTATGCATGTATGTTTTCTCATTTTGGAGTCTCTTCATGTGAATTGATTAATGGCAGAAAAATTTTTTCACATGCATTAAATTGAAATTTTACTGTATGAATTCTCTGTTAGTTGATGTTTAATTTCTTGTTTTTTTTTTTTTTTTAAGATTTTTATTTATTTGACAGGTAGAGTTACAGACAGTGAGAGACAGAGATAAATTCTTCCTTCTGTTGCATCACTCCTCAAATGGCCACAATGGCCAGAGCTGCACTGATCTGAAGCCAGGAGCCAGGTGCTTCTTCCTGGTCTTCCATGTGGGTGCAGAGGCCCAAGCACTTGGGCTGTCTTCTACTGCTTTCCCAGACCACAGTAAAGAGCTGGATTGAAGAGGGGCAGCTGGGACTAGAACTGGCACCTATATTTATGCAAGCCTGAATTCTATGAAAATATACTTCCACATTCATTACACTCCTAAGAAACCCCTTGTGTGAATTTTGATGTATAATGCCATTTCTGACAAATGGCTTTTTGTCACACTAATAATATTTCTGAACTTCTTCATTTTTTTTTAACAATTTTTTTATTTGAAAGACAGAGTTAGAGAGAGACAGAGAAGCAGAAAGAGGTCTTCCATCTGCTAGTTCACTCCCCAGATGGATGCAATGGCTAGAGCTGCAGCGATCCAAAGCCAGGAGTCAGGAGCTTCTTCTGGGTCTCCCATGTGGGTGCAGGGCCATCTTCTACTGCTTTCTCAGGCCATAGCAGAGAGCTGGATCAGAAGAGGAGCAACTGGGACTAGAACCAGTGCCCACGTGGTATGCGGGCATTTCAGGCCAGGGCTTTAACCTACTGTGCCACAGCGCTGGTCCCAACCTTTCTTCCTTATGGGAGTGCCTATTGTATGGGATGTAATTTCCAGCAAAAGGCTCTATCACATGGTTATGTTGATTTGCAAAAAGTCCTTCACATTCATTATATTCTTAAGTTCTCTCCCTTGTTTGATCTACATGTTATGAGGTATTCCTTCTGACAAAAGGCTTTCCCACATTTATTACAAGATTCCACCATGTAATAAATTCTCTGATGTTATATTGTGTGATTTTGGCAGAGTTTTCCAACATTCATTCCATTCATAAGGTTTCTCCCCCATGTGAATTCTGATGTTTTATGAGGTGTTACTTATGGATAAAGGCTTTTCCATATGCATTATATCCGAAGTGTTTTCCCCCATATGAATTAGATGATGTGCAATGAGGGCTGAATTATGGGGAAAAGCTTTCCAAGTCATTATGTCCAAAAGGTTTCTCTTCATGTGCATTTTCTGATGCATTCTGAGATGTGACTTATTGCCAAGGGCTTTTCTACAGTCATTGCATTCATGAAGTCTCTCCCTGGTGTGAATTCTGTGGTGTGATATGAGCTATGATTTATAACATATGATTTATAAAGGCTTTTCCACACTTACTAGATTCATAAGGTTTCTGCCCTGTGTGAACTGTTTTGATATGAATATAACTTATAGAAAAAGGCTTTTCTGCAGTCATTACATTTATAAGGTTATTTCCCTGTGTGAATACTCTGATGCATTTGGAGTTGGAACTTAAGTTTTTCCACAGTCATTACACTCATGAAGTTTCAATACTGTGTGCATTCTCTGGTGCATTCAGGTTTGACTTTTGTCCAAAGGCTTTTCCAGTCATTACATTCATAAGGTTTGTGCCTTGTGTGAATTCTCTGATGCATGATGAAGGTTGACTTATAGCTAAATGCTTTCCTCAGTTACTACAATTGAGTTTTCTACCCTGTGTGAATTCTCTGCTGTGATATGAGGTTAGTCTTTTGTCCAAAGGCTTTTCCACAGTCATTACATTTATGAGGTTTCTCCCCTGTGTGAATTCACTGGTGTATGATGAGGTCTGACTTTCGTCCAAAGGCTTTTCCACAGTCATTACATTTATGAGGTTTCTCTCCTGTGTGAATTCGCTGATGTTTCCTGAGGCCCGACTTGTGTCCAAAGGCTTTTCCACAGTCATTACATTTATGTGGTTTCTCCCCTGTGTGAATTCGCTGATGTTTCCTGAGGCCTGACTTGTGTCCAAAGGTTTTTCCACAGTCATTACATTTATGAGGTTTCTCCCCTGTGTGAATTCGCTGATGTTTCCTGAGGCCTGACGTTTGTCCAAAGGCTTTTCCACAGGCATTACATTTATGAGGTTTCTCTCCTGTGTGAATTCGCTGGTGTATGATGAGGTGTGACTTGTGTCCAAAGGCTTTTCCACAGTCATTACATTTATGAGGTTTCTCTCCTGTGTGAATTCGCTGATGTTTCCTGAGGCCCGACTTGTGTCCAAAGGCTTTTCCACAGTCATTACATTTATGTGGTTTCTCCCCTGTGTGAATTCGCTGATGTTTCCTGAGGCCTGACTTGTGTCCAAAGGTTTTTCCACAGTCATTACATTTATGAGGTTTCTCCCCTGTGTGAATTCGCTGATGTTTCCTAAGGCCTGACGTTTGTCCAAAGGCTTTTCCACAGGCATTACATTTATGAGGTTTCTCTCCTGTGTGAATTCGCTGATGTTTCCTGAGGCCTGACGTTTGTCCAAAGGCTTTTCCACAGGCATTACATTTATGAGGTTTCTCTCCTGTGTGAGTTCGCTGGTGTATGATGAGGCCTGACTTTTGTCCAAAGGCTTTTCCACAGTCATTACATTTATGAGGTTTCTCCCCTGTGTGAATTCGCTGGTGTATGATGAGGTCTGACTTTCGTCCAAAGGCTTTTCCACAGTTATTACATTTATGAGGTTTCTCTCCTGTGTGAATTTGCTGATGTTTCCTAAGGCCTGACTTGTGTCCAAAGGCTTTTCCACAGTCATAACATTTATGAGGTTTCTCCCCTGTGTGAATTTTCTGATGTATGATGAGGTGTGACTTTTGTCCAAAGGCTTTCCACAGTCATTACATTTATGAGGTTTCTCTCCTGTGTGAATTCGCTGATGTATGAGGAGGGTTGACTTCTGTCCAAAGGCTTTTCCACAGTCATTACATTTATGAGGTTTCTCTCCTGTGTGAATTCGCTGATGTTTCCTAAGGCCTGACTTGTGTCCAAAGGCTTTTCCACAGTCATAACATTTATGAGGTTTCTCCCCTGTGTGAATTTTCTGATGTATGATGAGGTGTGACTTTTGTCCAAAGGCTTTTCCACAGTCATTACATTTATGAGGTTTCTCCCCTGTGTGAATTCGCTGGTGTATGAGGAGGGCTGACTTATATCCAAACGCTTTTCCACAGTCATTACATTTATGAGGTTTCTCCTCTGTGAGAATTCGCTGGTGTATGATGAGGCTTGACTTTCGTCCAAAGGCTTTTCCACAGTCATTACATTCATAAGGTTTCTCCCCTGTGTGAATTCGCTGGTGTATGATGAGGTGTGACTTTTGTCCAAAGGTTTTTCCACAGTCATTACATTTATGAGGTTTCTCCCCTGTGTGAATTCGCTGGTGTATGATGAGGTGTGACTTTTGTCCAAAGGCTTTTCCACAGTCATTACATTTATGAGGTTTCTCCCCTGTGTGAATTCGCTGGTGTATGAGGAGGGCTGACTTGTATCCAAATGCTTTTCCACAGTCATTACATTTATGAGGTTTCTCCCCTGTATGAATTCGCTGGTGTATGATGAGGTCTGACTTCCACAGAAAGCCTTTTCCACATTCAAGGCATTTATAAAGTTTCTCTCCTGTGTGAATTCGCTGATGGTTTATGAGGTATGACTTTTGTGTAAAGGCTTTTCTACAGTCACTACATTCATGAGGTTTCTCCCCTGTGTGAATTTGCTGATGTTTCCTGAGGACTGAATTTTGTCTAAAGGCTTTTCCACAGTCATTACATTCAGAAGGTGAATTAAAACTGAGTGATTTTCCACAAGGTTTACATGTGTAAAGTTTTTCCCTTGTATTTAGTCTCTGGTTTATTGTAAGATGTGACTGGTGAATGACAGGTTCAACATACAAAATGTACTTATAAAATTTCTTTCTTGTGTGAGTTTGTTGATGCATATTGAGGCTAGAATTTTCATGGATAGCTTTTTCTATTTGCGTTGCTTTTCCAAAAGTGACAGTTGACTTATTACAGTTTTCTGCCATATGAACCCTCTCAGATTTACAGAACATCTTTCTTGTGAAGACTTTTGCTTGTCCAGTGGGTCCAAATGGCTGCTTCATGATGTGAATATTGTCAAGCTGGCTAAGAGGCTCACAGAACTGGAGAGATTTTCCAGGTATCTTAGTGTTATCAAATTTCTCTCCAGCCTGTAGTTGATCAGGCCCCCTGGGGGGATACACAGTGTGACATTTATTGCATTCCTCAGGCTTCAATCCTGAATAGATTCGCTTTTTAATAATCAGTGTTGGAACATGGCTTGAATTTAAACTAAGTGTTCTTCTTAATTCAATTCTCTTGAGAGCTGATGTCTTGTTATTTTTCATAAAATCCTGATTCAGATTTTTGTCCTGACTTTCCTGGTTGATCCTAATCAGGTCATCCCTTTTCATGACCACTGAAATGAGAAAAAACAATCATGTCACTGAATCACATGTAACTGTTTCTCCTGCCATACTCATGTAAGGGAATGAAGTTACTTGTTATCCAAGTGGTATAAGATGTTCACAAAATCAGTATGAGGTACTTATTTGTGACCATTATATGGTTTTTCTCCTTAATACATTATATACCATGAGGTTTCCCAATGTTCAAACATGATCCTTTTTACTATGGGAATTTGTCAAGGATGGTAGAATGACTTTTGTGCTATGATGTGTGGGATGCCTGCATCTCAAAACAGTGTCAGTTTGAGCCCTGGCTACTCTGCTTTCAGTACAGCTCTCTGCCTATGTAAACTGGAAGGAAGCAGATAATGGTTCATGTGCCTGGGAACCTGTGAGAAACCAGGGACTAGAGGGATTATAGAGTTTTGGCTTCAGACTAGTTAGACCTAAGTGTTGCAGGCATCTGGGAAGTGAGAGCTAATAGAGGACCTCTTTCTCTCTCTCTCTTCTCTCACTATCACTCTGCCTTTCACAAAGATGAAATAACTATAAAATATTTTAAAGAATGGGCAAATATTTAATAAAAATATTCACCCACTACCTAGCAACCATTTTTTTCCTTGTGCTTTTTCTCCAGTTTATTTTATAAAAATTGTGTGCTTTTTGCTTTTCTGATATCTCAACCATAAACATGAAAAAGTTTCACTAATCATTTACTTGCAAGTGGAGAAGAGTGAAATGTGCCTGTACTTTAAGCAGGACAACATTTAAGGAGTAGGATTTGAATCTATGAGTGTCTCATGCTCAGTCTTCCTAGGTAAACATCATTTGTGGGATTTTTCAAATGAAAAACTACTTTGTCTCTACTCTATGACAGCTTCCCCAAATTCCTAAGGACACCCAACACCTTCAGCTTCTCAGAAGTACAACAGGTACAGAAAATTCCCAATATACCACTTTAGTTAAACACTCCCAATCAGTTTGAAGAATTTGTTTCTGCAAATCGGGATGTGCTCATCTTCTTTGAAAAGTGTTTTCTAACTCATTCTGAAATCATCAGTACTGGTTACCTCCTCTAAATTCTTTCTAGAAACATTCCTGTGTGATAATTTGAATTTCTGGAGGCTTTTGATCAGTTGCCTCCTATTTTCACTGAAAGCTTCATTTCCTATGCTTTTCTTATCTTTTCATTGGCTTTTTTTCAATGATACTGAAAATAAGAGAGAAATCATACTTCAAACTCCACCCTTAAGAAATCTGAGTCACTCAACATAACCCCATGAGGCTACTTGACCTTGGGTCTCAAAATCTCATTATTTTCTTGGTGAGTCTAGGATCACTTATTTTCATGTTTTATGTAAGTTAATGCTTAGTTTAGGATTTCTTTTTTTCAAAGATTTACTTTATTTATTTGAAAGCTAGAATTATAGAGAGAGAGACAGAGAGAAGTCTTCCATCTGCTGGTTCACTACCCATATGGGCACAACAACCAATGCTGGGCCAAAATGAAGTTAGGAGCCAGAGTGTCTTTCTTGTCTCCCACATGGGTACAGGGGGCCAAAGACTTGGGCCAACCTCTGCTCTTTTCTCAGGTGCATTAGCAGAGAGCTGGATTAGAAGGGGACCAGCTGAGACTTGAACTGGCACCAATATGCAATGCTAGTGCTGCAGGCTGGAGCTTTAACACACTGCACCACAGTGTCATTCCTAGCTTCATAATTTCTGATGTCACAGCACAGAGGCTTACTCATGACCATCTTTTATTTTTAAAGATTTATTTATTTATTTGAAAGTCAGAGTTACACAGAGAGAGGAGAGGCAAAGAGAGAGTAAGGTCTTCCAACCAATGGTTCACTCCCCAGTTGGCCACAATGGCCAGAACTGTGCTGATCTGAAGCCAGGAGCCAGGAGCTGCTTTTGGGTCTCCCTCAGGTGCAGGGGACCAAGGACTTGGACCATCTTCTACTGCTTTCCCAGGCCATAGCCGAGAGCTGGATTGGAAGTGGAGCAACTGGGTCCCAAACTGGTGCCCATATGGGATGCTGGTGCTTCATGCTAGGGTGTTAATTCACTGTGCCACAGTGCCAGCCACATGACCATCTTTTAACATTTACTTATTTACTTACTTGAGAGTCAGAGAGACAGAATGAGAGATAAAGACAGACTGAAACAGAGGTTAGCCAACTGTAGGCTCACTCTTCAAATGTTTCCAACAGACTATAATTTTCTTATTTATTTGAGAGGCACAGAGGAAAAAAAAGAAAGAGACTAAGAAAGAGAGAGAGTTCACATTTATTGATTCAGTCCTGAGCAAGTCCTATGCCTGGGCAAAATCATGAGTGGGAACGCAATCTGAGCAATGAGTTAGAAATAAGTTTCTGGGGGCTGGCATTGTGGCATAGCAGGTAAAGCCACCACCTGCAGTGCCAACATCACTTATGGGTACCAGTTTAAGTCCTAGGTGCTCCACTTCTGATCCAGCACTCTGCTATGGCCTGGGAAAGCAGTAGAAGATGGCCCAAGTCCTTGGACACCTGTACTCATATGGGAGACCTGGAAGAAGCTCCTGGCTCCTAGCTTCAGATCAGTACAGCTCCAGCCACAACAGCCAATTCGGAAGTGAACCAGTGGATGGAAGACCTCTTTCTCTCTCTGCCTCTCCTTCTTCTCTCTCTCTGACTTTCAAATAAATAAATAAATCTTAAAAAAAAAAAAAAAACCAGAAACAGGCTGGTGTGGTGGCTCAATAGGCTAATCCTCTGCCTGCGGCACCAGCACACCAGGTTCTAGTCTCGGTCGGGGTGCTGGATTTTGTCCCAGTTGCCCCTCTTCCAGGCCAGCTCTCTGCTGTGGCCCAGGAGTGCAGTGGAGGATGGCCCAGGTCCTTGGGCCCTGCACCTGCATGGGAGACCAGGAGAAGCACCTGGCTCCTGGTTTTGGATCAGCGTGGTGTGCCAGCCACAGCACACCAGCCATGGTGGCCATTGGAGGGTAAACCAATGGCAAAAGTAAGACCTTTCTCTCTGTCTCTCTTCTTTCACTGTCCACTCTGCCTGTCAAAAAAAAAAACAAAAAAAAAAAAAACAGAAAAATTAATCTTAAAAAAAAATAAGTTTCTGTATGTTACCTAATTAACAAGCACTGAAGGAACTAATAAGTGCATGAAGGGAAAGGTATGAAAGTGTAGAGAAGGACAAGTTAGAATTGGGGGAATGTATCAAACCTAGATAAAAGCCTTAGTAACATCAGAAAATGACTGGATTTTTTTTTTTAATCAAAGAACATCTTCACTAAGAACAAAAGTTAGGAAGATACTGGTATCTCTAAATGCCTGTGTCTGATGCACAAAACCAGCTGTCATCAGGAGTAAGGCTTGAGAAAATTTCATGGAAAGAACACCAGTCAACATCTGCACACTTTCTGCCTTGGCCTCCCTGTCTCTTATGTGCAGACTGACCTGAAAGGCTCAGATTCAAGCATTCATCCACGATCCATGGCTCTTCTCCTCGCTCCAATTTGAAGATCAAGTCAGGTTTGGTAATGCAGTGCCCTATTAATGGAAACAAAGTAAGACTTTGTAAAATCACTATCTTGGGTTATTTAAAGGACTACAGCTTGGTTCAGGAGCTATGCAACAAATGTTCCAATTTGAATCTTTTGTTAGATGGTAGATATTCAGATTATTCATGGACTCAAATTCTAATCCTGCCCAATATTAAACATTATAAAGTGTTCCCTTATTTGTCAAATAGCAAGAAAATGTTATCACTGGGCATGTGATGGGTGTCACTCACCCAAGGAGAACAGGCTGCTGTAGGTCTCCAGCATCACATCTCTGTACAGGATTTTCTGAGCATTGTTCATTTTCTGCCATTCTTCCCACGTAAAGTACACAGCCAGGTCTTCAAATGCTGTCATCACCTATAATAATACACTTCCAGTCAACATGTTAACTCTGTCACAAAATAAACACTGACAGTTGTGTATGGATATGAAGGAAAAAAGGAAGGATATGGTTTCACATTAGACTTGTGGAGTGTTTAGAAAGCCACACGGAGCATTCAACAGAGTCAAACCCATGATCTACAGGCTGTGAGACATGCCCAAGCTGGAGGGAAACAGCAGGTTCAAATCACAAAGGCCACATCATTCAAGGGGAATTGCACAGCAGGCTAGAAGAGGGGCAATACTGACTCTTGACTGGGCAATGTTAAGGAGAAGTATGTAGAAGCATTGAGAAAAAAAGGCAAGAAACCATCAATGAAACTACGATGGGAATTAACAGAAAACAATTTCCAGGAAAACACCATGCATATCAATTCCAAAATGTCAGAGAAAAAAATATATTAAAAGACAGGGCAGACATTTAGCGTACTGTTGTTTATGATGCCACCTCAGAGTGTCTATGATTTCCATTGCCAGCTCTAGTTTCTAGCTCCCAGTTAATGCAAACCTGGGGAAGCAATGGTGATGTCACCAATGAAGGAGGCCTAGATTCCATTCCTCAATCCTGGCTTCAGTCCTGCCCCACCTGTTTGGTATGGTTATCTAGGAAGTGAATTAATGTGTCAAAGCTCTCTATCTCTCAGTCCATCAACTTTTTTCTCTATCAAGCTAATAAATATTTTTAAGTAAGAGAGAAATACAGGTAAGACAAAGAATACAAATTAGCTTTTGCCCTTGTCTATGATTATTCTAGTGATAAACAATTGAAATAACATTATACCTAATTAAAGTGAAAGCAATGGAAATACTTGCCCAAAACATTCAAATGATAAACATTTGAAATGACATTATACATAATTAAATGAAAGCAATGGAATTTTTTGCCCAAAAAGAGAACCTGGGAATGTCTGCAGTACAATCTGCATTTGTGACTCACTGAGAAAAATGCTTAGAGATTCGTTTCAGAACCTGCAATAGTCACCAGAATTGTGATCCAGCAGGCTAAGCCTCCACCATCAATGCTGGCATCCCATGTAAACAGAGGACTTGAGTCCTTGCTGCTCCACTTCCAATCTAGTTCCCTGCTAACCTGATTGAAAGAGCAGTGAAAATGGCCTGAGTATTTGGATCCTTCCACCAATGTGGGAGACCCATGGAGTCCCAGGCTCCTGGCTTTGGCCTGGCCCAGTCCCAGCCATTGTGGGCATTTGGGGAATGAAACAGTAGATAGAATATAACACCTTTTGTCTCCCTGTCCCTCCCAATCTCTGCAAGTCCACCTTTCAAATAAATAATCTTAAAAAAATAAATGAGCCTCCAGTAGATTCTTTTCTCCACACATTCCTTATCCTATTCCAGAATCCAATTCAACTTCTCAAAGGTATTAAGAACTCCATTACTCTAACAATTTGAAAACAAACTTAACTGATTTGTGTTCCAGCACTAGGTAACTTCCTCTTGCAGAATGCTAAGTGTTTACTTCATAGGTAGCACTAAAACACTGTTCAGTACATCATCTATGTGTAGAATGTTTCAGACATGACCCCAAAAATGTAGCATATTGTGCTTAGTTTCAACTCAATTCATGTAACAATAATATATTTTGCTATAGCAACAGAAAGACAAGAGACCAAACTGCATTATTATAGATGACAGTAATGTTTCATAATCATGCCAAATTCATAATTCATTTCTGTATATTCTGTGAGAACAAATTTTATGTTTATTTTTCTATTTTAAAATTTTGTAAAGATTTATTTATTTATTTGAAAGTCAGAGATACACAGAGAGAGGAGAGACAGAGAGAGAGAGAGAGGTCTTCCATCTGCTGGTTCAGTCCCCAGTTGGCTGCAATGGCTGGAACTGCACCAATCTGAAGCCAGGAACCAGGAGCTTCTTCTGGGTCTCCCACATGGGTGCAGGGGCCCAAAGGACCTGGGCCATCTTCCACTGCTTTCCCAGGCCATAGTAGAGAGCTGGAGCAGAAGTGGAGCAGCCGGGTCTCAAACCGGTGCCTATATGAGAAGTTGATGCTTTAGACCAGGGCATTAACCCACTGAGCCACAGAGCCAGCCCCATATTTTCCATTTTAATTAACTAGTATACTGGGACTGGCACTGTGGCTAGCAGGTAAAGCCACTGCCTTCAGTGCTGGCATCCCATATTGGTGCCAGTTCAAGTCCCAGTGGCTTCACTTCCAATCCAGCTCTATGCTATGGCTGGGGATTCAGTAGGAGATGGCCTAAGTCCTTGGGCCCCTGAACCCATGTGGGAGACCCAGAAGCAGCTCTTCACTTCTAGCTTTGGACCAGTGCAACTTCAGCCATTGTGGCAAACTGGGGAGTGCACCAGCAGATGGAAGACTCTCTCTCTCTCCCCCTCTGCCTCTCTGTAACTCTGACTTTCAAATAAATAAAAAAAATCTAAAAAATAATAAATAAATAAACTAGCATTAAACACCTAAAATGAGTACTGACAAGCTGGGGAATAATTAAAAAAAAAAAACACTTACAGGTGATATATTAATTTTCTTTCCTCTTAGAAACATGTGGAGGACCCAGAATCATACCTGGGAGAGAAGGTGAGTGGCAGGAGTTCAAAGAAAACTCGGGAGGCCAACGCTGTGGCATAATGGGTAAAGCTGCTGCCTTCAGTGCCAGCGTTCCATATGGGGTCTGGTTCAAGTCCTGCCTGCTCAACATACAATCTAGCTTTCTGCTATGTCCTGAGAAAGCAGTGGAACATGGTCCAAGTCCCTGGGCCACTGCACCTGCATGGGAGACCCAGAAGCTCTTGGGTCTTGGCTTTGGATCGGCTGAGCTCCAGCCTTTGCAGTAATTTGGAGGGTGAGCCAGCAGATAGAAGACTTTCTCTCTCTGCAACTCTTTCAATAAATAAATGAAATCTTAAAAAAAAAAAAAACCCTCTGGTTTCCTTCTGCACTGAACATGGGGAAAAAAAGGATATAATAGAATAATAAAGAATAATAAATACATTAACCAAGAAAACATCAGCTTCACTGTGGAGGAATAAACCTCTAAAAATAGAAATACATAGGAAAATGCACCCACCTATATTAAGTGGCAGAGATTAAACAGAAGTTAGCATTGGTTTAACAAAGCATTATCTACAAATTTTGTAAAATAATAATGTAAAAGTAAAAAGAAAAGTTGAGTACTCAAATGAATAAGGTTATCAGAGATAAACATTATGTTGTTATTAAAGTTTATACTAAAGAATGTTAACAAATACACATAATGTATATTTAATGCAGTGCACTTTACCAGTAATGATTCCAAGTAGCACCTTTCCCTGTATTCATCCCTTCACTTCACAAAACCCTGGATTGGGGCTGGCACTGTGGCCTAAGTGGTAAAACTGCCACCTGCAGACTGGCATCCCATATAGGCACTGGATTGATTCCCAGCTGCCCCACTTCTGATCCAGCTTTCTGCTATGGCCTGGGAAAGCAGTAGAAGATGGCCCAAGTCCTTGGGCCCCTGTACCCATGTGGAAGACCCAGAAGAATCTCCTGGATCGTGGCTTTGGATTGGCACAACTCTGGCCATTGCAGCCAACTGGGGAGTGAACCAGCAGATGGAAGAGCTCTCTATCTCTCTCTGCCTCTCCCTCTCTCTGTGTGTAACTCTTTCAAATAAATAAATAAATCTTTTTGAAAAAGACCATGAATTCCACCATTTCAATTGATTTACCCATGAGATACCAGTAAATGTGATAGAAATAGACAATTTGTTAAAATATTTATTTATATGAAAGAGTTACACAAAGAGAGAAGGAGAGGCAGAGAAGAGAGAGAGAGAGAGAGAGAGAGAGAGAGAGAGAGAAGGAGGAATAAAGAGAGGTCTTCGAACTGCAGGTTCACTCCCCAGATGGCTGCAATGGCTGGAGCTGTGTAGATCCAAAGATATGAACCAGGAGCTTCTTTCAGGTCTCCCACAAGGGAGCAGGGGCCAAAGGACTTGGGCCATCTTCTACTGTTTTCCCAGGCTGTAGCAAAGAGCTGGATCAGAAGTAGAGCAGCTGAGTCATGAACTGACACCCATATGAGATGCTGGCACTGCAGGTGGTGTCTTTACTTCCTATGTCACAGAACCAGCCCCAGAAATAGACAATTTGTAAAGTATTTGCCTTCTCAGATTTTCTTTTTCTGACAGTTATCTTCTGAAAAACCCTGGGGCCTGCCTGTTGAAGAGATAGTATGTAGGCTGGCGCCGTGGCTCACTAGGTTAATCCTCCGCCCATGGCACTGGTATTCCAGGTGACAGTCTCAGTTGGGGTGCTGGTTCTGACCCAGTTGCTCCTATTCCAGTCCAGTTCTTGGCTGTGGCCTGGGAAGGCAGTGGAGGATGGCCCAAGTTCTTGGGCCCTGCACCCACAAGGGAGACCAGGAGGAAGTGCCTGTCTCCTAGCTTTGGATCAGCACAGCATGCTGGCCATAGTAGCCATTTGGGGGGTGAACCAATGGAAGGAAGGCATTTCTCTCTGTCTCTCTCTCTCTCACTAACTCTGCCTGTCAAAAAAAGAAAAAAAGAGATAATATATAGCCAAGATTCACCACAAACCCCAGACACTTAAGTGAAGCCTCAATCAGTTCCCCAAATGGCTGAACTCTCATTTCTGCTCCTGGACTGATCATAGGAACTGCCCAGCTGAGTACAGCCCATAACAGAGTCTGAACTGCAAATCAAATGGCTATTTGTTAAGCCATTGTGTTTTCTGATTTGTCCTACATCAAATGCTGATATATATCAGTAAGTATGGCAGAAAGTTGAATTACATGCAAACTACAATGCATACAACTTCAAAATTTCATTTGGAAGTTCCCATAAAACAGGGCCAGCATTGTCACATAGCAAGGTAAACCTGCCGTCTGCAATACAAGCACCCCATATGAGCACTGGGTCATGTTCTGGCTCTTCTGCTTTTGATCCAGCTTCCTGCTGATGGCCTGAGAA